TGACTGTTGAGGGTGCGCTTGCTATGCGCTCCCCGCCCCACGCTTGTGCAGGTTGGTTCCTTGGTCATCCATTCTTTGGTGGGTTTCAGTTGCTCATTCAGGTAAATGTATCTCAAAGGAGCCACATAAAGGGGAATCATTTTTGTCAGTGGCCAGCCAGTTTGTGCAGTTCCAGTGGTGACTGACACTTTCCGAGTGTCCATTACATTCAGTTCATGCTCCCCATGACCCCACACTGGTTTCTTGAGGTCCTGAGGGAAGACTGGGCCACCTCCTTGGGTTCTGCAGCATCACCAGTTTCTCAGCGTCTTCCCTCACCTATGAGATTAGTGGAGAAAATTCAGCCACGTTCTTTAAAGCCACATCCTTGTGGCCAAGGTAGTGAGACATGGACAGATAGGTGCAGGAGGTACAGAGCTCCTGGGTGACCTGGGAATTGATGGCAGCCTCCGCGTTCTGGGGGTAGTTGTGGTGCCGTTGGGAGGAGAGACTCTTATCATTGTGGGGCAGCCGAGAGGAGGTGACTGTGATTCACTGCAGCAGTGGTGGGGTCTTGGGGTGGCTAAAGGGCACTAAAGAGGTGCCAGGGCTGACTGAGCTGCTGGTGGGGAGGCTGGAGAGTTGGGGGTTCTTTGCAAGCTCTGTTGAAGCAGGAAGCCCTCGGCCACTCTTGGTGAAGACTTTCAAGTTTTAGATTTTGATGAAGTTCGATTTATCGATTTTTTTCCTTTGTTTGCTTGTGCTTTGGGGCGTTGTATTTAAAAAACAATTGTCTGATGCAGGGTCACAAAGATTTGCCCTTACATTCTAAGAGTTTAAAAATTTCAGTTCTCACAGTTCTTTGGCAAATATTGTGTTAAATTTTGTGTGCGGTGTGAAGTATCCATATTCACTCATTGCAGGGGATATCCGGCACCACATTTGTCTCTTTCCTGCTCACTAGTTAGCCATAAAGGACACTGTAAAGGCTCCAGCCCAGGAGATCCACAGGGCACTTCAGGGCACAGGGGCCTGTCCTGTTGTAGTCGCTCACCTGTAAGTTCCTAGCACCATTGTTGAAAAGATTTTTTTGCCCACTAAATGATGTTGGTATGTTTGTCAAAAAAAATCAATAACGTGTAGCTTTATTTCTGAACTCTCAAATTTGATCACAATAATCTGGGTTTATCTTCTTGCCAGTAACATGTTCTCTTGATAACTAACTTTGTACTGAGTTGAAATCAGGAAGTGGGTGTCCTCCACCTTTATTCTTTTTAAGATTGTTTGACCCTTTTCAAATCCTTTGCATTTCCATTCAAATATAGGAGCAGCCTGTGCTTAGTTTCTGCAAAAAAAAAAGGCAGTTTTTTGTTTTAAATGTTTATTTATGTATTTATGCACACAGAACTGGGGTACAGGGCAGAGGTGCAGGGGCAGTGAGAGGATTCACCAGAGACAGAGTGGGGAGCAGAACAGGCAGATGGACGAAGTACACTGCTGAGGGGAGCAGAGCTGGTCAGGAGAGGTCTGCCGCACCATGTGGTCACCTCCGGGGCAGGCGGGAATCGAACTCATGCAGAAGTAGCTTTTGCTTCTCAGTGCAGTGCTTTAACCCGCTGCGCCACCAGGGAGGGCCCCCAGTTGGTATTTTAACAGGGATTGCATTGACTTTTTTTTTTTTTTTAAGGATTTGCTTTCATTTCTTTTGATAATAGAGAATAGTAAAGGTTATAGATTTCAGAGCCAACTTGCTGCTTCATTCTGGGGTCATACCCAGTTTATGTGGCTTCGTAAGTGTCTCATTTGTAATGCCCCCCTTCTTTTTACTACAGAATTACTGTCAGTAGTAAATATGCAACGAAGCGCATAGCTTTATCTCCCCACCCCCACTTCAGCGTTGTTACTGTTGAGTTTCACTGCGGTGATGACATTTCATGTGGGTGTGGACACGACACTTCACATTGCAATAATTTTCTGTTAGTGAACTGATTATTTGTGTTAATAACTCCCCTGATTTCCACAGAAAAAAAAGCTCAGCTGTCGACTCAATATTTATAGCTCCCTAATAGTCTGGATTTTGGTCTTTTGGTTATAGTTTGACATAATATTTTATGCATGATCTGTGAGTTTCATAAAAGCCTGCAAAAGACACAAGCTAGACCATGACTGCAACATACCAGTGATATTACTGACATATTTTCTCAATTCACTCTTTAGTTTTAAATAAATAAATCTTTAAAACAAATAATAGTTTAGAAATAATGCATTTCAGTACTAAGGGTATTCAAATTTGGTGAAATATTTCATGTATGATTGAAAATTTACACCTAGTGCATTACCTCTTATTTTATAGTTTCATTAAGTATAGGCACAAAAAACTCCCAAGTTGTCCCAAAGAAGGCAGAAGTGACTCAAGTTTTACTTCTCTATTTTTACAATCACTGTTACTATTTATTTGAAATCTGTTGTATGCACCAAGGACTCTAAGAGTATGGAGAAGAATTCTAAGAGGATTTGGTGTACCATAAGCAAGTTTGGACAGTGACGGACCATTTTAAGCAATTTACTGGCCTGACAGATGCACAAAGTTAAGTCTGCATCGGGAGCCAACAGTGAGTGAGAATTCTCTGCATTGACTTCATGCAGAATGCTGTGTTTATTAGAGTAAGTGGTGCAAATGTGTGGGTTTGGCACTCCCACATATGTTATTAAAATTCCACAGTAACTACAATTCTTTAGGGTTTAGACCAACAAAGGATTTTTTTCATCCATGGCACTGTTTAGAATTGACACTCCATGGTGATAGTAAAAGAAGACCAAGTTCTAATTGGTTTTATTATTTTTTTAAATACTTTATTTATTTATTTATTTATCTATCTATCTATTTATTTATCTGTATTTATTTATTTATTTATTTATTTATTTATTTATTTATTTATTTATTTATTTATTTTTACTTTTGCATAGAAGAACTGGAGTGTAGGCCAGAGGTGCAGGGGTGAGAGGATTCACCAATGACAGAGTGGGGAGCAGACCAGGTAAATTTACTGAACTGAGGCCCTAGAGTGCTGAGACAACCCTATATGCCACCAGAGAGGCCCTGGTTTTATTTTAAATTCTCCAAGGAAATTGTCTCCTATTGTGGGGACCTACGATAGAGCTTCACTTGAGTTAGGTCACTGCTGGGCTCAGCTTCTTGACTATTGTGTCATATTCATTTTTTCTGCTCTGTTTTATATTTATGGAACAGGAATAAGAGTATCAATCTGTATGAGTATTAAACCAGACACTCTGAATGTGTCCGGTACAGTCATACGAATTCATTAAACGTTAGCTATTACTCTTTCTGCTATAGTTCATTATTCTGAATAAATATTTTACCTACATTTGAGCCTCTTACTCCCCCCCCCCCCCACACACACACACTCACTGGTTTTTGAAGGCTTAGTTTTTTGGAGCTATTTTCGCTTCACAGCAAAATTGAGTGGAAGCTCTCCTCAGGTTCTTGGAAGCTGTGACTTTTTTTTTGGAACCTGCAACTTTAAGGAAAACCAATCTTACAGGCTAATTGATTGGATGAAGAGTTAAGTTCTTACTGCATATTTTGGGTCAGAAACATCTCCAAACTTCTAAGTAAAGACACAGAGCACTTCTGATATGTAGCAGTCATTTACATTCACTCTCGTTTTCCAGCTTGCTTATTCCAGTGCACAAATTGGTGGCCAGAGCCTCCCCTGACATCTCTGACTTCCTCACAGGCGCTGTCACCCACACTCAGCTTTGCCTTGCAGTCAGCTTCAGTGCCCAGGAAAGCCCATGCAGCCGTGGGGCAGACCCTGCGCAGTCTGTCTGCCGTGACATAACACCTGTCTGCAGAGGCTGCTACACACTCAGCCCCACTCATGCGCCCCGGGACACTGCCCTCCGGCATTTGTTGGCATCAATTGTTTATTTTTTACCAGCACTGTCCAGGGTGTTTGGCCCACTACGACAGGAACTGTAAATGCCTTTATTAAATTATCTTGCTTTATGGTTAGTATTTCAAGAATAAAACCCTACTGGGTTTCTCTTACATCCAGAGCTTGCTCCCAAGCTATAGTTTATGGTTTTTCCATAAAAAATAGTTCTTGGACTTTATCATATACTTAATTATCCCTTGAAAAGGTCGCATTTTTTTTTTCCCTCTAAGTTGTTGATGTTGTAGATTGCATTAATAGATTTTCTGATAATCTGTTCTAACAGTGGAATGATTCTTGGACATGATTTCTTGTTTAACACTCCAGTGATTTTTACTTTACCTGTTGTGAAATACGCCTCAAACTAAAGATTTTCTGGGTTTGGAGTGCCTTCCTTGTTTGGAAGGAACAATTAGCTGCTGTTCATTTTTTCTCATGTTGGTCTTGGGTAAAAATGTGATGTGAGTAAAACTCAGTTTGCCAGTCTTGTGCCAACTTTAGCAGTTTACATTCTTTTTGAATAAAATCTTAAATTTATGAGCTTCCAGTTCTTGATACTTTACATCGTTTGTAGTATTTCAGTTAGTTATTTTTTTCCTTCATTTTATGCTTTATTTGTATGATTTTATTCTTTGTGTTACCTTTTTTCTTTAGGCAGGCTTTTCAGAAAATTTGTCTCTTGATATTAGTAATTTGCAGTGTTTTGTTCTGTTTCATTGCTGTATGTGGGACAGTGACTAAGGTAAACCACACCTGAGTCATAAAACAAGTACTATTTAGGACAGCTAAAAATGTAGTTTAAAATGTAAATGAGAACAGCTTAAAAATAAAATGACAGTGGAAGTCACTGGCAGGAATGCTAGTGAGAATGTGCATGGTGTGGCCACTCTGGGAAAAAGCAGAATCTTAACGTTGATCATACATTTACCCTCTGCCCAGCGGTCCCATTCCTAGATTTTTACCCTAGAGAAATGAAAGCCTGTACACAAATGCTTATCATTCTATTCATAGCTATCGACACTTAGAGATAACCTGAACACTGTTGAGTGGGTGAATAGAGACGCTATGGTCATCACCCAGGAGAGTATTGCCCCACATCACAAGACATTTGCTGTCCAAAGATTAGGAGAAAATGTTTTCCTTACATATACTTGACAAAAGTCTCGCTTCTAGAATACTCAAAGAATTTATATACATCTCTGATGCGAACAAATATAGCTTTTAGAACTGGACAAAATTGTGAGTGGGCATGTCACAAAGTGATTTATTTGAGTAGCCAACTAAACATACGATAAAGGGTACTGCGCCATTCAGTCGCTCAGCCTGATGAGGCTATGGGGCGAGATGCCAGGTATACCCACGTAGTAACTAGGACTCAGAGATTGAAAGACTGAGTATGGGTGAGGTGGAACAGCTGAGTCTGCAGAACACTGTTGCCATCCCTTAAACTAGAGTTGAGACGGCGAGGATTCATGGGAAGTGTGGTGAAGTTACGTGTGTGCGCTCAGCTCAGGGCTACTGTTGGTTGCGGATGATTCAACTCCATCCTCCTGAAGGCCAGAAGGATGTGTTGTCTCAGGTAACCTCTTGAGAGGCAGGCAGGTGTTCTGCTGAGACCCTGCCTCTCCCACTCCGCTTTCCGCTGGGATGGCTTAACCAGACGGACAGCGTCAGGGTCCCTTGAAGTCGCTGCACAGTCACCCTGGACTTTGCTCCATTGCCTGCCAGCAGCACTCAGTCTCTCACGGGATACAGCCACCGTGCTAGGTTTGTGATGTCACTGCTGTGGCGAGTCTTTAAACATCCTTCCGGCCAGAAGCAGAATAGCCATTCTTTTTCTTTTGATCACCTGTGCATCCGTTAGAGCAGAGCTGCCCACAGGCCTGAGACACCTGCGGTGAGGTGCCCCCGCCAGAGTGTCTGGTTCATTAGGTCTGGGGTGCGCTGAAGTTTGTGTCTTTGACAACCACCATGCAGGCCCCGGAATCCGTCTGAGGCCAGGTTACTGGACTCACCGCATTGACTGCAGCATCTCGGAGGGAGTTTTCCTGCTCACTCCTTTTCATTTTGGTCTTTGCTCCGTTAGGTATAAGTACTTAGAAGACCTGCCAAGGCTCAGTGTTGTTCTTGCCAGGACACACGTGTGAAATGATCTGACTGGGTGGGACTCGTGGTTGCAGTCTGAGCTTGGGGAAATGGACAAACCCCAAATGAATGTTCTGTTTTGCCCAAGGACCAGTTTTGTTCATAGAAGATCAAGAAAAACTGGGACTTTCTGTAGATAAAAGGAGCCGAATACATGCTGTACCCTGTGACCTGAGGCTGGGTCCCCTATGAAGTGAGGGATAGTATTGGGTCAAATGACAAATTGAAAGATGGGTGGTTGATAAGATAAGAAAGTTTCCTGAGCTTGGTAACAGGACTGGGGTTATGTAAGATAATATTATTTTTAGGAAACACATTGAAATACTTGGGTAGAAATACATTATGTATATACCATAATCTTGGTGGCTCAGAAAAAAAAGAGCAAATGATAATGCAGAGGGCAAGGAATGCAGGTGTTTCTTATATTATTCATGCGACTGCTGGAAATCATGCCCAACTGAGTTAAAAAAAATAAAGACCATCCTCTGCTCTTCAAATTAGGGTAATTGTAAAGGATTTAAAAAAAAATTGTTAAGATGTTTTTAAAGGCAGCGCAAGGTGGTGGTCTGCGAGCCGCTTCATCCAGGCTCTCACTTGGCTGTGAGCTCCTGCAGGCCAGCTGGGGGGCCCCATCTGCGGCCCCCGGCACAGGAGCAGCTCCCCAGCATGCTTGGGGTGCCTCTGACATGACTCACCTGAATGTGGCCTGGTGGTACGTCATGTGTCTTTAGCCTTGAAAAATATTTTTTTTCTTTTCAGCCCAAAATGGAGTTAATCCTGACTGGGAGAAGAAAGTAATTGAATATTTTAAGGAAAAGCTGAAGGAAAACAATGCTCCTAAGTGGGTAAGCTGACAGCTGAGTGGGGTGAGGGCTGGGCAGATGTGCCATCTCGGTCCAGCAGGACCCATGTAGACCCCTAAATATGGACAGTGGCCTGTGCCCTCCTCTACTGTAAGTGCTTCTTTATTAAAAGATTTTAGGGTGTCGCCCCATAAACGCTAGCATAAAGCCCTTCTCCTAGCACCTCTAGGTGGCAGTAACTGACCGTGTTACTTTTAAGACAGAAAAGGTCAGTGTGAGAACTTTGATGATCTTACCTTCATTTTGAAGAATTGGTATGTTTTAAAGTGTTCTGAAGGAAAAACATCGTTTTCTGTTAGAGTCAAGCATCGATGTGCAGACGTGCAGAAACTCCAAGAATGCTTCTGTTGGGCAGTGACCTTACACTGGCTGAGAGAGCTTCAGGTCCCTAGTGGGCTTGACTGTGTAGCGCTTGCAGTGTGGAGCTGGATGGTCCAGTCAGTCTGTTTGTGTATGTGAACTTGATGCTTTATAGACAAAATAATTTTTCCACTTGGTTATTTTCTCTCAAGGTGCCTTCATTAAATGAAGTTCCCCTCCATTATTTGAAACCTAACAGTTTTGTGAAGTTTCGTTGCATGATTCAGGATATGTTTGACCCTGAGTTTTATATGGGAGTTTATGAAACGGTTAACCGAAACACAAAAGCACGGGTAATGTATTACTGCTTTTTACATGAAATTTTCTGCCTATAAATATTCGTTTTGTCCTTGGGTTTTTTATGGTGCTTTGGTTCTGATATACTGGTATCATAATGTTTTCCCCTTTTTTTGGGTCGTAGGTTCTTCATTTTGGAAAATACAGAGATATAGCTGAGTGTGGGGTATGTATCATTAAGATATATAAACTTTTGAATAGATTTTTTCTGATGGAATTTCTTTAGTTGATCTTATTTATCTTATGTGTAAATAAATTCTAAGAAGTCCTGTGAAATGCTCTCTATTTCTGCCCTTTTTTGATATTCTAAAACTCTCTTAAAATGAAATATTATAAAACTAATTCCACCTCTCCTTCCCCGATTTAAAAAGATACACATTACAGTGACGTTAAGATGAAAGTAGAGGATTAACACTTGAGATTATACTTGATTAAATCTGTCCTATTCTCCTGAGAGAAAATAGCATTTATCCATAAAGAATTGGGGTACATACCAGAGGTGTGGGGCAACTTAACACTTTTTATTTTAAGAAAAGGAAGTAATAGAAACTCCCTTGCCTATAAAACAATGGGAGGAGAGAGAAAGAATCCTGATAAAATTATAGTTATAAAAGGGACAGTTGCAGCAGAAACTACTAGAACAGTTAAAGTAATCCCAGCCTATCTGCATTTTAAAAAATGCTTTTCTGACAATAAAGGAACTAATGTACAATTGGAATTAATTTTATTCAGATCTGTTCAAAAACCTGGCATTGTAACTGAGAAAAGTTTAAATTTTATTTCTAGCTTAATAGTAAAAAAAGATTGCCAGCATGTCAGAATAAATATACTAACCAAAATGTCTCTTAAATTTTGCTTTTTGTGTGTTTTCATGTGATTCTATGGAAACACATTAATTTTGGGGAAGTAAACGAACCTCGCAGCTTCGTAGAGGCCAGACAGGCCTTACACAAGCCTCAGCAGAAAGGTGGTGCTGGGGACTTACCTCCTGGTGGGCACTAGTTCTCTGCTCTGTGGGTCCAGAATCTTGGTTGAAGTAGGGGTGACTTTCCACGTGAATACTTGGAGCAGAGGGCTCATGAGAGACAGGTTTCTTGAACCTTACGCTCGATGGCCTGCAGGGCTCCTCGGTGGTGTTTGGCTGAGACAGGAACGCACGTTTCTCCCAGAGTCCAGTGCAGCCTCCCTGGGGACTACAGTGGGCCGTCAGTGTGCCGCTGCGAGAGCACCTTACGCACAGTGACACGAAAAGGGGGCTTCAGACCTGGAAAGATACAGAGACAGATACAGCTTCTGCATTTCAGCTCATACATTTCATCTCTCGGTCTTTTATTCCCCGCTACAAAGTGGAAAATACATTTTATTGACTTAAAAGGGTTTTCTATGTCATAAAAGTAACTTATTGAAGTAATTTTCAATGCAATATCTTAGGTTCTTAGAAATTTGTATATTTGAAGTAGATGCGCCATTTCTAGGAAATAGTATCTGGCTTATAAACCTCATCTTAGAGCTATCTCGTTTTGAAAGTCTTCACTGATGGTGATATTTTTCTCATAAAGAGATAATGGGGTATTACCATGTGCTTTTTGTCTTTAAAAATGATTGTGTCATTTATTAAAAAGGATTTAATTTTACAACCTAGGGCGGGGTGTATTATAGACTTGAGGGAAGATAGTATATTGATTACTACATGTGAAATGATGTGTCAGTTTTCTTTTAAAAAGTGATAGTATAGTTTGGATTTCATAGTTGCGTATTAAGTTAACTCAGCATGAAATACTTATTGTGTCTTTATAAATGAATATTTGGTTGCCGTTTAAAACTGTTTTTCTAAATAAAATTCTGAAAATGTTTTTGTGTGCATTACAGCCTCAACAAGAAGTTGATTTAAACTCACCACGAACTACTACTTTGGAAAGACAGACTTTCTATTGTGTTCCAGTGCCTGGGGAATCTGTGTGGGTAAAAGAAATATCCTTTTTCTGAACCTTCTTGTGTGTAAATCATCATGTTTCTGGTGATTTTAGCAATTGAAAAGACTACAATTCAGATGAATTTTTTTAAATAAACTATTGATTTACTTGTGGTTAACAATGCTATATATGATTTGGGAGTTCAGCTTTATACATTGATATTAGAATTTGAGTTTTGAAAAACTTGGTCAAATTAGCTGGTTGGGGGGGAGCCTATTCTTTATTATAGAGCCTGGCTATGTTTTACTAAAATGTGTTTCATTTGATTTAAAGAAGAAAACTTTAAAAAGCAACCTAAGTAACTGTCTCTGAGAAATGCTAAAATTGTGGAACACTCCTGTAGTAAAATACTGTTAAAAATATTGAAGTATATGGAAAGGGACTAAAAAAAAGATTACCAGTTGAGTAAGTAAAAAGTTACTTTCAAATTAGAACTTACTCAACTTTCTTAAAGGAACACATGTTGGCTCTTTTGAGAGGAGACGATAGCTTCATTTCCTTTTAACTTATTTGATTTTTTTAATTAGTGGTTTTTCTTTCAGGCAGTTTTTCAGTGAGAGTGAAATGTACCAGTTCTAAAGGTATATTTGGGTGATTTGGAAAAGGCACACAAATGTGTAATGTACACCCCAGTCATCAGAAAGAACTTGTTCCAGAAAATCTCCGTCACCAACCCCCTCCCTCGAGACCTCTGTCCTGATTTCTTCCACTGTAGCTTCTGTTCTTGACTGCGCTACACATGGAGCCGTACAGCTTGAGAGTCTTCCAGTCAAGTTCTGCTGTTCAGCGTAATGCCTGTGAGACTCACCCATGGGTGGGTCTTTATTCCTTCCTCTTGCTAATGGTATTTATTCACATAGTCTACAGTTGAGGAGCATTTATGTTGTTTTTAGTTTTGAACCTGGCCTTTTGTAGTGAGAAGATTTTAAATTACAGACAAGTTTTGTTTTTTTTTGTTTTTTTTTTTTTAAAGATTTATTTATCTGTACCTACAGAACTGGGGTACAGGCCAGAGGCTCAGGGGCGGTGAGAGGCTTCACCAGAGACAGAGTGGGGAGCAGAACAGGCAGATCGACGAAGTACACTGCTGAGGGGAGCAGCGAGCGGGTCAGGAGAGGTCTGCCACGCCATGTGGTCTCCTCCGGGGCAGGCGGGAATCGAACTCATGCGGAAGTGGCTTTAGCTTCTCAGTGCAGTGCTTTAACCCGCTGCGCCACCAGGGAGGGCCAACAGACAAGTTTTTAAAATATTTCATGTCAGTTGCAGTGTTGAAGTCTCAGTTGATAGACTTACCTATAAAACTTTTCGTGATGGTTCCTTACTTTTCCTTACTAGTGTCTGGGGGACATCTAGTAATGATCTCTTCGCCATTAATGTTAAGCAATGTTCCTCTTTTATTCTTGAGCAGTGTTGCTAGGAGTTTGTCAAAGAACCAGCTTTTGACTTTAAATTTACTGTTTCCTCTTTCACTTCTGCTCTTGACTTTGTGTGTGTATGTTTCCCCTCTGAACTTCCACCTGGCCTTTCCCTTTATTTACTTGCCATCGTCAAATTTTCATTCATATCAAAGCTCCCGTGTTCTATTACAGTCACCTGTCCACTGCCAGCTGCTTTGTTTCTGGGATCTCTCTGCCGCTTTTCTGGGCTGGCTTGTTTCTTTGACACTATGGATTCCTTTCCCTTGGTTTATTGTGTCATTTCACTGGGGGGCACATACTGAAGTGATTCTCTCTGCAAAGAGAACACCAGCAGCAGCGGTGAATTTTCAGAGATAGTCTTTCTTCTAACCTCAAATTGATCCATAGTTTGGCTAGGCAAATAAATTTTGGTTAAATCATTTCTCTCAGAATTTTGACAGAAAATGCTGCGTTCATTGTTGCTACATGTTCCTTTACAGGTAACTTACAAATGTTTATTTCTTCAAGATTTTAATAACTTCTATTTGTGGTATTCTGACCTTTCATGATAACATGTCCATATGTTATAATGATGATCGAAACAAGAAGTTGAGCTTTTTTGTTTTTTAAGGTTTATTTTGACAGGAGAGGTCTTCTGCCATGTAGGGTAGCTCTCTGGGCAGGGGTCAAACGCATGTTGCAGTGTCTGGCAATAGCTTGACAGCGCTGAAACTTTTAACACCTGACCCAGCATGGAGGCCCAAGAAGTTCAGCATTATTAAAATGCATTTTATTTAGCCAAATTGCCAAACTAGTAACCATTTATTAGTCACACGGTTGGCATAACTGATTCTCCTTCAGCTCCAGAAGTCTTTTCTTAACCTTTCATTTAACGCCTATGTTAACACAAACCAAGCTCGAGTCAGCCCTTCAACATCCTACACTCCCAGCCGCCACAAAAGGAGCTACGAAGACGATGAGGACATGGACCTACAGCCTCATAAGCAGAAAGACCAGCACGCAGGCGCACGGCCAGCAGGTAGCGTGTGCCAGGGCCTCTGTAGGTGTCTGCTCTGCAGTCCGGCCATTCTCGGAGTTAATTGTGTAATAGAGTAATTTTAACTCGGCAGCTGGCAGTGATTTAATGACCTTGCTTTCCAGTTTGTTAGGGTGGCAGGAGGGTGTGAGAGTTTACAGCACCCTGCTCAGATGGTGCTCTGTGGCTGAGCACTGCGCGGCCCCTGCCTGAGAGCAGCTGCTGCAGCATCGGTGTCTGAGGTACTGTGTTGGAAAGTCTGATCTTTCTTCACATTTTTATTTCAGCTCTGACGTAAGTGGAAGCATCGAGCTTTACCCTCAAAATTACTATCTGAAAACATGCCTTTTATTATTTTCTTTGGAAGAGTGGCATTTTAATTTAATTTAGGGAGACTGACAACATTTATTTTTAACCTTGAAGCAAATAACAGTCACAGTTGTTTGCTATATTTATCTGCTGTTAGTGGTTTGTTGATATTTCTTAAAATACGCTAAAAATGCAATTCTGATTAAAATAAAGAAATCAAGAGGAGACATTTTCTACAGCATGAGAAAATTTCACCTTGGCCTCTATTATTATTTGTGATTTTCTCAGTCACAGTTTTCCTGAGCAGTAATCCCCTGTGCGATGCCAAGTGTAGTAGTGTCTTTCTTTCTCTTTTTGGTACTGTTAACCTCTTCACTGTGGGACCTTTAACCACAGGGCAGGTTAGAGGCAGGAAGGAAAGAGCGTGTCACTTAGTCCGTTCTTACCCCAGACTGGGTGAAGAGGGCAAACAAAACAGGCCTTAAGGATTCACTTACCCGTATGTTATTCTACTTACAAGTGCTTAGTGTAGCTTTCCTTAATGCTAAGCGTGTATTTTAAAAATTGACATGCTGTATGGAAATGTCTATGTAAATGTCATAGTTCTTTTGAAAACGTGTCGGGATTAATGGTATTCACAGCAAGCGACTGACTGCGGCCCGGAACACACGCACGCCCACTCTCCTGCCGCTTGCGCTTGGCGCCCCTTGTTCTTACTCGCCCTCTTGTTCCAGTGTCACACTGCGGGCTCTTCCCGCCTTTGAGTGCATTGTTTTTATAAATTTGAACTTACTGTTGAATGTTGGGCGATCTTTCCGACTACACATTTCTTTAAGCATTTTTGAGAGGTGTCCGTTGACAGTTTGAAGAAACGCTACAGAGAGGTCCGCACTCCCTTGATCGGTTTTCCCCCATGGTAACATCTTGCCTGTTGATAGTAGATGGTCCTGGAAACGGGCATGGATAGGCGCATCGGCACTGTCCACATTTTTGCATAGTTCATTATCCTCATGCGTCCCTTCTAGCCGTGCCCACCTCTGTCCTTCCCTTCCCCTGGGTCCCTGACCCCGCAAGCACTGCTCTCGGTCTCTAATTTTGCTATTTCATGTAAAATTAGCTTTTCTCATTCAACAGAATTCCCTTGAGCTGTGTCTGAGTTCGTGCAGACACGAATAGTTTATTCCTTCCTACTGCTAAGACGCCTTCCGTGCGTGGCAGGCTGTTTTGATTCCCATTATCAGCTCTAAGCTGTGCCTCCGTCCGGGCCAGAGGCTGTCTTTTCATGCTCTGTTTCCCTAACAACTAGTCTGTTTCCTGGTACCTAGTGGACGTTAATAAATATTTGGTAATGAATGTACACTATAAATAAAATCCAGTAAGTAGCCTACCAAGGTGGTGGTGTTTTCAGTAGACCATGTATCCCTGAAGTCAAAGATGTCAAAGTGACCATATTAAATACTAGCTTTTGAAAGTACTTAGCCAAGATTAGATGTGGGAGGTGGGAATTTGTTGCCGTTTTGAGGAGGGAAATGATGAAATTTTCAGATCTTGGTCAGATATAGAGGGCTTGATTAGTACACATTATTTTCTTAAATGCTATAGTAACTTGAGGTCTGCAAGCTCAAAAGCGTCATTTGTATCAAACTTGAAAGGTCTTACGGGACTGTCCTCCTGGCGGCCTTAGCAATGACAAGGTGCCGTGCTGTCCTTTGAATTTAGGGAGCGTTGGTGGGCTGCAGTGGTGTGGAGAGCCAAAGCGTTTAGAAACTGAAGCTTCTACTGGGCAGCAGCTAAACTCCCTGAATCTCTCGTCTCCTTTTGATCTGAATTTTCCACTGCCAGGAGAGAAGGGCCCCGCATGCCTTGTGAAGGTAACGAAACCTTTTACAGCTCTGACATTGACATAGAAATGTGATTGTGTCTTAATATTAAAGTGGGAAACGCTTAGTATTTGTGTCAGTTTTATCTTGCTGCTATAACAAATCACCACAAAATTGGGGCTAAAACAACAAATTAATTTTCTTAAAGACTTTGGGTCAGAAGTCTCACACACACACGGATCTCATTGGGCAAAATCAAGGTGTTGGTCGAGCTGCGCTCCTGCCTGTAGGCCGCGGCGGGGTGTCTGTCTCCTTGCCCGTCCATCCCCAGGAGGCTGCCCACCTTGCTCCTTTTGTGACCTCTTCCGTCCTCAAAGACAGCAGCAAAGACAGCAGCACTGCATCTCTGTGATCACAGCTAGGGAGACTCCCCACTTTAAGGACCTCTCTGATTAGCTTGAGCCCACCCAGACAACCCAGGCTGATCTCCACTTCAAGGTTCTGAGTGTGCACGTCTGCTGTCCGTAACTGGCACACACACCCCAGGACAGGGGCCATCTTTCGGGCGGGCGTTCTGTCTCCCTCAGCATTCTTAAAAGAATATTCAAACACAAGAGACAACTTTAGTGTCTACTTTCCCAGGGCATTTCTTTCTCCCTAGTAGCTACTTCATTTTTAAACTATTCTTCCTTTTCTTGTCAAAATCCGTTTCTTACTTCTATTTAAAATAAAACATCTATTTAAAAAAAAAAAACTCAATACTTTGTCTATCTTGCTTATTCTGGTGTTTTGATCCCAAGAAGTAAGTGATGTAAGTTTCAGAAATGATCACTGAAAAACTCCATTCTTACTTGGTGTGGTTTCATCTTCATGGCACCTCAGTTACCCAGCATGAAAAGCAGAATTCCCACCTGTGTCCTGCTACTCTTTTGCTGGGTCTCACTCATAGGAGGCTCATAGGAGGCGGTGACATTTACTAAAGTCAGTCACGGCTGACAGCTTTGAAAGATCTGTTTTATTGTGAGCGACCTGTAAGCTCCGCGTCCATCCTCTTGACGTGTGCAGCTCGTACGTACAAAGCTGTTGATTCTGACTTTGTCCCCTTTCTCTTGGAACGGTTGGTAGACTTTGAGCTAATGGTTGTTTTTAGCATTGATCGATGGTCACTCTTTAGGTCAGCCCTTTGAAGTAGTGTGATGTACTGAGAACAAGCACTGTTCTGTATTTTAGTTGCTGACTTATTTTCTGCCTGGTAGAATGACTTCAGGTAAGTACCTCACCTGTCTTGTTTTCAGTTTATGATTCATTTCCTGTTCAGAAACTCTAAGATGGCGATTAATACTTTAAAATCGATACTACTGTCTTACGCTTTTGGTGTTATTCAGTCCTAACACCGATTTCGTGTGGTTTCTTGTTAGGTCTATGAAGACTGGGATTGTTTCAAAGTGAACGATGTCCTTGAGTTGTACGGCGTCCTCTCTGTGGATCCTGTCCTCAGCATACTCAACAGTGAGGAAAGGTGCTCCCTCCAGTGACGCTTTTTCTCTACCCTTCTAGCTTTCGCTTTTGATAGAATTTCAGAAAAGTTAGAGAATTGTTATCACGCATTCCCGTCCCCCGGATTTACCAGTTACTAACATTTATATTATTTTTGTCATTGACTTGTGCTCATGAAAATCATTTTTTTATACCTATTTTTCTGAAACACTTGAAAGTAAACTGCTTATGTCATATCCTTATACTTGAATCCATGTTTCCTAAGAACAAGGGCATTTTCATATATAATTATACAGCTGTCAGCATTAGGACAATTGCTGTGAATATACAATGCACTAACCCACGACTCAGCCTTAATCCCACTAATTGTTTCAGTTACTTCTTTCTACCAGTTGTTGCTTCTCCCTGAAAAACAAGCTGGGCCGAGTTCAGTGCTGCTTGTTTCTGGTTCTTCTGGCTTACGCTGCGGGTGTGCGGTCAGCGTGCCCTGCTCCAGGCTGCTTGGGCGAGTTTCCTTCTGGCCCCATCAGTGCCTGTTCCCTTAGTGAGTTTTCACCTCACATCACTAAATTCTTTGTTTTGACTGTTTCAGCAAATATGAGTAGATCTCTGTGTGCATGGTCTGCCTTATTTTCTTCTTAAAGCATGTTATGAAAAGTCAGCTCTCCCTTTGTCTTTTTTTGTTTTGAAGTTGCCAAAGGAAGGGAATTACATTCCCCTCCTGCAGTAGAATTCTCCTGTTGAATATTGGACAGTTCATCTTGTTGTCTCCATTAAAAGCAATTTTCTACACACTAAAAAGAAAGTTTGCGCCCCGATTTTTTTAATCACTTTAAGGTAATTCGGTGACAACCCTTAATGAATTTCTGGTTATTTACATAATAGTACAAAAATAGCAGCATGTCAGCTTTCAGGTACTTCATTTCTTGAGGCCGTTCAGTGTCGAGCACAAAGTGAGCCAGGAGGTCTGGGTTGGTTCGTTGGCCTCTTACCGGCTGTGTGGCCGGGGCTTACCTTCTACGTGACTTGGTGCCCGCATTGAATGGGGCGGTTTGAGGTTTTGGTGAACACACAGCCGCTCCGGTGGTGGCTGCCACTGCCCTTCTCACACACCTGGAAGACAGTAGTCACAGGAGCCGATCCGTGGAGCCGCTCCATTGAGTGAAAGGTCTGAAGATGTTCCAGTTATGTGTTTGAATCATCTCACAATAAATAAGTCTATTGTCTGGTAGTTTAGGAAATCCAAAGGAACTTTATTTTCAATTTTTATCCATAACTTATGCAGAGTATTGTGTAAGGATATAAGAAAAATGAGACGGAGGTGAATGACAGCTGAGGACAGGACTCCAGTTTGCAGACAAACTGGGTCTAGCTGGCTGTTTAGGCAGGAGTGTCTGCTTTGAAGTAACCTCGTGAGTGGCCAACTGCATCTGAGTAGAAGTGTCCCTGCTCTTGACGAGCACATACATGATATTAGGATGTGACCCATACTTCTGCAGATGTGCAACGTTTTCGAATAAGGAGCCATTTCCTGTTCTTTAAAGATAGGAACAGATGCCATGGTTGCTGACTTGCTTTGCGTTTTATTTTCAGAGCCGTGTGTTGTTTGCACCGGCAGCCGCTGCTGGGTCTGAGAACTGACGCCTGTCATCTCCCCCCAGGGACGCCGCCTCTCTCCTGGAGCCAATGGAGTGCGCGGACACGGCTGAAGAACAGAGAGTGCACAGTCCCCCTGCTTCCTTAGTGCCGAGAATCCATGTGGTTTTGGCCCAGAAGCTGCAGCACATCAATCCGCTGCTGCCGGCTTGCCTTACCAAGGAGGAGAGCAAAACCTGTAAGTGTAAGTGCTGCGTTTTGGGGCCCAGACTCCCCTGGTCTATGTCCACCGTGTACCGTGGCGTGTGCTGGGGCTCGCCCTTAGGGTAACCACCTTTTCTCTGCCCATTTTCCATTGTGTTAATTCTCTTCATGAAGACAGGATTTTTTTTTTTTTTTTTAAAGATATTTATTTGTACATACAGAGCTGGGGTACAGGCCAGAGGCTCAGGGGCGGCAAGAAGCTTCACCAGAGACAGAGTGGGGAGCAGAACAGGCAGATGGACGAAGTACACTGCTGAGGGGAGCAGCGGGCGGTCAGGAGAGATCTGCCGCGCCATGTGGTCACCTCCGGGGCAGGCGGGAATCGAACTCATGTGGAAGTGGCTTTAGCTTCTCAGTGCTGTGCTTTAACCCGCTGCGCCACCATGGAGGGCCGAAGATAGGGTTTTTTTAAGACTCAAGCTGTCTAACTGTAAAAACTTAGTGACCTTTTCTAAAAAGTCTGTACTGGCGCCCCCTGCTTGCTGTGCCTGTTCACAGAATTGCCTGCCCTGAGACGTGAGGCCTGGGGTATGTGTTCTGAGCCTGGTCTCTTCCTTCTCCAGTTGTTTCCAGTTTCATGTCTGAATTGTCTCCAGTCAGAGCAGAGCTGCTTGGCTTCCTCACTCATGCTCTTCTGGGAGATAGTTTGGCTGCTGAGTACCTTATCTTACACCTCATCTCTACAGTGTAAGTACAGTACTCCTGATGGGAATTAAGGGAGCTTGGTGAATGTGGGAATGAGTGGGTGCTTTCCCCAGTGCTTAGTTAAAGTATGAACCTGCTGACGTCTTTAAGTGGCTCTTTTTTGTTCAGTGTGACATATATTTTACCAAATCACAAATCCCTTTTTCACCTTTTCTTGGGCTTATTTTGTAGTATTTTGACTGTCTCCTTAAACTTAGAGCCAAAACCAGATCCAACTCGGCTGGTGCACAGATTGAGCATACCCTTTTGGCATTTCAGTTGTGGTTACACAGCCCACGGCTCAGTCACCATCATGTGCATTTCTGACTCAGGCTGGGCCGGAGCGCCTCTCCCTTTCAGAAAACCAGCAGCATGGTTTTCTGGTCTCAGCAGTACCTTGTACACTCCAGCAAGTTCTGAGAGCGTGAGGAAGTGGGCTCTAGGCTCACCACTAACAGGTCATCTCAGGTTAACGCTTGTCAGTATCTGCTCACCCCAACCTGTTTTCTTTACCTATGTTCACACGCCTACGTGGGTCTCATTTATGCTCTAAACACAGCCTCATGGCTTAGTTTTACCACTGAATATCAAATGTTCCCCCATCACAGTTCCCTATGAGGCGTTTACTGACTTCAGGTATTTCATGATAGACAGTTGCACCATCCCCTACTCGTTAGCTTTTCCTGGTTTTTCTCTATTACGTGTAACGCTGCAGTAAATGTCTTTGTACTCAAATCTTCCCTGAGGTAGGATTCGAGGTAGTAGTACTTACTGGGAGACATAGATTCTGGAAGCAAACTGCCTAGGTTCACACTCTCACTGGCACTTCCTGACTGTGTGAACTTGGCCATGGTACTTGGAATCTTTGCCTCCCATTTCTCAGCTGTAAAACGCAGCTGGTACAACCTGCTTTCCAGTGTTTGGGGACTGAATGATTGTGAATCAAGGACTCTGAACAACCCCTGTGTGACCCACACCTGTAGTAAGCATGGCTGTTAGATTGGTAAAGTCAGACCCAAGTAATCTACTTTCTGATACTTTTAAATAATACTGAGCTAATTTTTCTTTACTTTCTGATGGCATTTAGCAAATCACCGGAATATCTTTTGTCTTTTCCCCCTAGATACACAAGAAGAGATGTCCTTCCATTAGGGAAATTTACAGTTAACTTGAGTGGCTGCCCTCGGAACAGTACCTTCACCGAACACTTGTATCGAATCATCCAGCATCTTGTTCCGGCAGTAAGCATACTCTAAATATAAATTAGAAACCTAAGAACACTTTGAAAACATCTGATGATCTTTCATCAACTCAGATATTCAACTTTGAGAGTTGACTAGGTCTCACTGAGAAGGCCTACCCAGTCATATAACTTCAGATGTACTTACCCTCAACGTTTCCTTCTGTTTTGTGCCTTAACAGGTTGCTGTAAGTCTCACGGCACAATTCCCCTAATGCTCAAAAACTGTAGTCTTGGTGGGTGCTGATTGGCATCCTTTATACGCATGGAAGCCTTGGGTTAAGGAAGCGTAGTATTTCAGCTGAGGTGATAAAGCTCTCTGTTGTCACTGCTGCAGCCTTCATTCCTGCGTGGGCAGTGACTGCCTTTTTTGTCCGGGCAGCTAGTATACTGGGGCGGTGGAAGAGCTTAGAACCAGTGAGCTGCTCCTGACGGGGTTTGACGGGAAGATCTGGCCACTGTCGCTTTGGAAATCACAGAGGTGGAGACGGGTCACCCTGGGGGACTGCATTTCTCAAGGTCCTTGACGTACTTCACACCTTGAAAAAAATGATTGTGAGCCTCAATGTGGGTTGTATAATCATTCTCTTGCCTCACTAGGAATGAAGATACACACTGTGTCCTTTTGCATTGCTGAGCCAAGACAAATGTCCTCCAAATTTGGAAATACGGCCTTTCTTCCTTGGCATCATCCTTTTTAAGCCAGTGATGGAGGAGTTGATTGATAGACAAATAGGGTGTGGAGAGTGGGAGCTGTGGCCAGGGGGCAGGGCAGTGCAGATGCTCACATTGTCTTACGCTGTGGGGGCTGAATGCGGGCGGCCTGCGGCCCGGAGCGGAGCGCTGTGGTGCCTGTGCCTCGGTTGGGAGCAGTTTGTCTGGGAGTCAGCCGTAGTCTGGTGGATGATTTCAGGTCAGGGAGTTTAGAGGGAAACTAAGTGAAGCTTTTCTCTTCCCATCTTGAAGTTCCTGTTTTGCTAACCTGTGGTAGGTTAAGCTTCTGGATGTTAGGTGTATGTCTCTCAATTGTCATTTATGCTTCACTGATAAATTAAAAAATTGCTCTTCTCGAATACTAAACAAGACAGTTGAACAGAGTAGGTTATAGGCTCGGGGATAGTCTCACTTAGGTTACAGGCATTTCTTTGCTTTTAAAAGAGCTCAGTAAACTGGGAGACTACCTCTTAGGAAATTTATGCAGTTGTTTTTTTCCCATATTAAATAATGTTTAACCCAGAAAGTGTAATTTCTTAAAACAGGGAAACATTATTTCCTGCTCATTAAAAAGTAAGAAGTTAGTTTGTTGCTTACGGAGACAGTTCTCTTTGCAGTCATTTCGTCTCCAAATGACCATCGAGAACATGAATCATTTGAAGCTCATTCCCCACAAAGACTACACGGCCAACCGCTTGGTCAGTGGGCTGCTGCAGCTCCCCAGCAACACTTCGCTCGTGATTGATGAGACTCTGCTGGAGCAAGGACAGCTGGACACCCCAGGTCTGTGTGTGGCCCGCCCTCCACCTCTCGCCTGCCTGCCTGCCTGCCTGCCTGCCTGCCAGCGCTGGGCGGTGCCCGGCAGAGGAATGGCTGAGTGGAGATGGCGTAGAGGCTTGCCATGTGGACTTGTAACTTGTTATCATAAACTAGTAGCTGCGCACCCATATAATGAAAGTAGTGTTTTAAGTTCAGGTTGAAAAGAAAAGGTTTGCTTTTAGTCATATATATGACCTTAGAAGAACAGTGTAGAAAGTTAAAATGCTTTTTATTGCTTAAATATAAAATTTTTTAAGTTTCTCAAATATCTAAAAATATTTCAGTAGGTTGGATGGTTTGAACTAACCTTAATTATGGGCCACCTAGTAAGTCACCAGAAGGCAAATTGATTTGTGCTGGTGGTAGGCAGGCAGAAGAGGACGACGACGTAACGCAGGTGGTACGGTTAAGGCCACGCGAGCGTAAAGCCAGTGGTGCTCCGACTACCTCCATGAAAACAGCCTTGTTCCTACTCTGTTGGCCCTGTGAACACCACAAAGAAAACAGTCGTATTTGCTAGGGTCCTGCCTGAGGCCTAGTTGTATGCCAGACATTAGGTGTGGGATTTGGGGGCCCCCCTGACCCCAGAAATGTATTTGTCTGTCTTGACAAGCATTGTCTTTGCAGCCTACTACTCAATGTTTAAAAACGCGTGTAAAACCTCATAATAAAAACCTTGTAAAATAAAACTCATGTTGACACCTCATAATCAGTGTCAACAAAAACTAGGTGACTAAATTACTGAAAATTTTTCTTGCTTTTCTAGGTGTTCATAATGTGACTGCCCTGAGCAACTTAATAACTTGGCAGAAGGTGGACTATGACTTCAGTTACCACCAGATGGAATTTCCCTGCAATATTAACGTCTTCATCACTTCTGAGGGGCGGTCACTCCTGCCGGTATGAGTCATTTTTAAATGGAGGGAGATGACACTGGAAAGATACATTTTTAAAAGTTTTTGTTTCTTGGTATTGGGTATTAATGATGTTACACTTGTTTCAAAATTGTGGCTGCTGATTATTAACAAAGGAATTGGTTACGTTGTTCCTGCCTTGGGAATGACCACCCTAGAAAGAGCCAGGTCCCCACAAATCACAGAACAAGCAGAGCGCGCGACTGGCAGCAGGAGCCGCCCTTGTAAGCATGAGAGGAAGTAGCAGCTGTCTGTACACTGCCCGATGGCATCCAGATTTCTGTTCTTGCTGCCTCTGTCCTATTGTTTTCTGCAAATCTTATGTGACAAATACTTTAGAATTCCTTTTTCAATGCCCTAGTCACCTGGTAATTGTTTTTACGCTTTCTGGTGAAATGATCTGGTAAGTCATCAGGCCACCTAACGAAGAGCGAACTTTTGGGTCAGTTAATGACAAGAAGTATGCGGTTGTTGGAAAGGGACGGTTGGTCTGCACAGCGGTGTTCACCTGTGTAAGAACGCCTGTGAGCAAGAGTGAAAACAAGTTTTCTGTGGGAAAGTGTGTTGCTTCGTTTCCAGATCTGCAATGCAGTAAGATACGGAATACATATGTGTTCAGGAGCCATTTAAAACACTGTAGTTTGCAATTTTTTATAGGTTGACTCCCCTTTTAATACATTTATTGATGCGTAGAGAAAACATTGGAAGGGACCGAGAAAAGCTACCAGTTGTATTACTGCTAAGGTGGAATGCATGTAAGCTAAAAGCCAACCTCTCCTGCCTGCTCAATGTTTCTCTGGCTCCCTTCTGGGGCCTAGAGGATGCGTTGTCGTGAGCAGTCGGCCAGTTCAGGAATCTGGGGCACTGTCTGCTCTCTTCTAGGCAGACTGCCAGATCCACCTGCAGCCGCAGCTGACGCCGCCGAACATGGAGGAGCACATGAGCAGCCTCCTCTCGGCGGTGCTGCCTTCTCTGCTCGACAAGTTCCGCATTTACTTGACCCTTCTGAGGTTCCTGGACTACAGCATCTCTGATGAGATAACCAAGGTATGCTGGCTTGCGCTAGATTTCTCTGCGTGGAGGACGTCGCCCGTCCGCGGTAGCCGCTGGCCCCTCGGCCATTTGTTTTTGTGTGTCTGTAGCTTTGTTGTTCCTCGGTTCTAAGTTATTTTCAGTTGTCTAAGAACTGCTTGTAGTGTAGCATTACAGTGTCAGTGATTGTACTTTTATAATTTTCTCTGAGTAGTTCGTTGCCTCGCGGCTGTTGAGGACTAACACACACTTAGTCACAGTGGAATACAGACGTCTGCTCCGTTAGCGTTCTGATCCTTCTCCCCTTTTTGCTTTATTGTTGGATATGCAGGTTGTGTCTTTGTACATTGAACATCGCCAGCACGTTTCACTAACTGCTTTAAGCGGTATCTTTAATAAAAGTTGTTCACATTTCCTTAACGTAGCTACTTTACCTGTGCTCTTTGTGCGGACCTGTCTGTCCTTTCATTTCAGCCCCAAGAACTCTGGCTTGTAAGGCAGATCTGCTGGTTTAGAAATGTCTTTCTCCTTCACTTTGGAAGGCTGCTTTGCTGTGTTTAGTTCATGAGTTCTCGCCGGCCCTTCCTCCTCTTCTCTTCCTCCCGCTTGCCTTGTGCAGGGCCTGTGGTAGCAACATGACCAATAATTACTTCTGGTTTTGTTAGCTAACCTGGGGAGGAGGGTCATCAGCTCCCAAAGACTGTCTTGCGAACAGGTTCTTCCGGGGAACCCCCGGTGAGGCAGGTGATGACAGTTGTCCACGCATGGTGCTCTGACAGCGCTGCAGCTGCCCCGTCCGCAGCGGCCGTCAGACTGCCTGTTTTCAAGGTTGCTCGGACTGGAGGAGGCGGCAACCGGGCAAATGAAGATGCCCGAGTTCAGTGTTCCTACCAGATTCACCTGGGCAGCCTTTCATTTACCATTGATCCCGGGATTGCTGGGTGCAGCTGCTTGGGTTTTAGAGTCCAAGAAACCAATTTTGATCATCATTGCTAAAGTTCTGCTCCTCAAATGGTGGGGTCTAAAGAGCTGTTTCCACTGACTTTTAAGGGGCATCAAGCTGCATCTGACTGATGTCACGTAACACTTGAGTGTTGTTACTTTGTTTAGAACCCTCCATTTGCATGTAGTATGTTTGAGTAAGGTGGATTTTCTCATCCTTTCACCTGTATTGTCTCATGTGCCAGAGGCCAGCTGACTTCATTTTCACAAGCCAGCGTTGCTTCATTTTCCTGTAAGGAATGGCTTTCAAATCCACTTACTCTTTTGACACAGGCAGTTGAAGACGACTTTGTGGAAATGCGTAAGAATGATCCTCAGCGTGTCACCGCAGACGACCTCCACCAGCTGCTCATCGTAGCTCGGTGAGTATTCTGCACCCACAGTGATTTCTCGGCCAGCCAGGTATAAGTCTCCTAACTGATTTAGGAGAAACTGAGGCTCACTTCTACAAACGGACACCTAGAAGCATCCTTTTAAAGACTCTGAAAAGTCTGAGTAGGAATTGTGTCTGGCTGGCAGTCACCTCAGATGACAGGCCTGCTGCTTGTTCTCTTAACTTCAGAGCGAGTCACCCTCCAGATTTGACTTGTTAAGAGGTTCCTTCGTAGAAGTCTTGACTCTTGGGTGTGTAGCTACCATGTGGTCTTGGCTCCCAGCCCATTATTCCTAGGGCTTAAGAAAAAAGAAAAAGGCATTATCCTGAAATGTGTTTCTGGTTTTCCACCAGGTTCCTGTCTCTCAGTGCTGGTCAGACAACGCTGTCAAGAGAACGGTGGCTGAGAGCAAAGCAGCTGGAGTCCTTACGAAGAACCAGGCTTCAGCAGCAGAAATGTGTGAATGGAAATGAACTTTAAAGATCTGGTACAACTAAAGAGTAAGGGGCAGATTGTAGCCACAGTCTTGTAAAATTCAATTATCATTTATACCACATTGTTTTGTAGATAATTTGTATCAAAAACCAATGATTTTTCCTGAAATCAAGCCTGGTAACATCTGAAGTTTATATAATATTCAGTAAGGGCTTTTGCCTTACTGGTTTTATGGAGCTTTTGAAGTTTGTTTTATAATTCTATAAATTAGTAACACTGTACAAAAATGTATTTGATATTAAAAGTTTAATATTGATAACGTTGCTGATTATCCCATTTCCTGAGCTGTCTAATCATAGACCAGACTTAAAATGCTCCCAACTGCATCTGAAGAGAACTTGCAATTTGAAAGTCAGGAATTGTTCACTTCAGATTTCGCTTTCTAGCTAACAGTGGGTCTGGATGTGCTCGCGGGCCCTGGGTGGGGAAGGGGCGCGCTAACATCACTTCATGCGAGCATGTGAAATTCTATAGTAGCATTTCCCAAACATTTGGCCACAGAAACCTTTTTCTTCCACAGTAGCTAATAGGCTGCTAGTCTTACATGGCAGTGGTTCCCAGACTTTTGGATTTAATGGACCGGTGATTCCAAAAATTTGTGGGGGCTGATAGATAGGGTTGCCAATTTATTTTCCCAAGTAATCTGAAAAAAATCAGTTTTCTCACCAGTTTTTTTTTTGTTTGTTTTTTAAATAAAAGGACAATCTCAGAAAAAGATAAGTCCCTTAAATGGAATAAATGTAGCATTTTAAAAAAACATTATTTGTCCTTATTTTTCTCATTTCACCCCACTACTTGGGAACCACTGTTTTATGGCACTCACTTAGGGAATGTTGCACTGTGAAGTTGTTTTGCCCAAATATAAAAAGAGCAAAATAGCAAATTTTTAATGCCTTTAGAAAAAGTTTTTAATTTTATTCCTAATAAATGTCATTTAGTTGCTTTGTTGGATTTTGAATTTTTATATAAGCTTATCAATTACTACAGCAGCATAGTTATGACATCAGGCATCTTTGAAAAGGTTAGAACGTTAAAGGTATCAGTGGTTTTACATCTGAAGTTTACTTAGTTTTAACCTAGCCCCTTCCTGCAAAAGGCCTAAATTGACGTTGCTAACCAAGAAAGCAGGGTCAGTCTAGGGAACTGAAAATTACTGGTTAACATTTTTTTCCTAAACACAAATCTATTTTTATAAACTGATGTAAATAATCTGTTTGTATTTAGAGTTCTAACTTGTTTTCATTTTTATAACTGGTAGAATAGACCTAAGTTTTAGAAATAAAATTAAAGTTCAACTGAATTTCTGAGAATAAGATTTTTAATTGGCTTAGAAAAAAGTAGGTTAGTTACAGTGTTTTTATGTGCCAACGTGAACTGTAATTTACCAAAGAGCTTTGCTTGGTCTTGTAGGAGTTCCCCTTGAAAGGAAATCCTTTTCAAATAAATCGAACTTCCCCAATTACTAGCACTTAGGGCTGTTTTTCATCAATTCAAAGGCTAATGCCAGCTACCGTGTGGTTTGTGTGAAGATCCTGTTCTTGTGGTTGTCAGCCAGTTACAGTCAAGTGCAGGAGGTGGCATAGCACCCAGGCCCTCCGCGGCGGGGAGGCTGGCGCCGAGCTTCAGAGGCCCTTGCTCCAGTGCCTGCACGTGTGGACATCAGCTTGCTGAGCTAATTAATACAATGTGAATCCTATTTGTAGAGCCAGAAAACGTTCATTGTGATCAGGGTATACAAACACCTTACTCATGGTCTTAATAAAAACAACAACACAACAACAAAAAACCTTTGCAACCAATTTCTGTGGAGCATAAACACTTCTCATGACTTCGGCTTATATTTGCTGTCATGTTGTAGGACTTTAAGTTTGCACTGAAGTATTTTCACTTAAGTTTATTTTCAAACAAGAAAAATTGGTAGGAACAAAATAAAAACATTTGGTTCCAGTGTCTGGATTTTGAAATTTGATGGCTTGTGATGTATTTCATTATTTTTAAGAAAAACACTTCAAGAGGAACAAATGTCAGGCCAGGTGTTCAGTTACAGAAAATTTACCTTGCAAATATTAAAGAATTCTCATACACTTTATCGCTTAAATTACAATGGCATTTTATTTTAAATAATCACAAGATTTGACACTTCCAAAAAAAAAGGACACCACTAATAAATAACAAAAGTGGAAATACTTATCAAAGTTGTTATAACAGACATAATGTTTAGCTGAGAATCACTTCAACAGGGTAACACTAAAGATCAGATAAACCAACACTTGTTCGGAATAAGATGTGCAACTTACGGGCTTACAGAAGAGGCCTTGGTTCCATGTGGTCAGGGTTAGTCATAAAACCAGTTTTAGCACAACTGTGCTTCAAGCTATACTTTCAACAGTCGTGTTAGCCTGCAGATGTTAAGGAATGCCCCTACAAAGAATTACAACTTGAAAGCTTCCTTCAGGAATTACCAGTACATCCATACATTCCTAAAAACAGAGCAAAATTAAGTAGGTGCTAGTATTCACTTCTGATGTCAGGTTTTCCTGATTACTGTGCTTCTAGACTTTGGGCTGTTAGGTGGCAGAATATCTTAGAAGTTTAAGAATATGGAGAAAATTTAGTATCAAATGGGCATGTATACTGCCAATACCTCAATTAATGCTTTTTTTTTTTAAAGCATTAAATTCAAATACTTCTCCATACTAGGGCATACTTTTTAAAAAGTCACTAAAAACTAAATGTATTTACCTGATAGAGGCAATACAAACAAGTTACGAAAAATTATAATTTCTTAAATGTGTCCATGCCCAGTTTTAATGTCTAAAGTCACTACCCACCCGCCCAACCCCTCCCAAAAAGATTTGTTACTATGTCTCGTAAATCTAGCCTGAATTTCAAAGAGAGAAACTGCTCTGTAGTAGGTAAGTTACCCAGGTCTACACACTAGGTCTATGCACTTCCACGTCCTGGCTCCTGAATCTGGAAATCTGCATCTGTGCAGACTCCGTTTAAAGCCTTTTCCGATACACATAATTATTATTTGTGACCCCTAGATTCAAAGGCAGTACAAGCTAGGGAAATAGCCTAATATGTGGAACCTCGTTTGGATTAAATAAAAGCTGCAGAAGGACTCTTAGTGGCTAAAAGCTAAATCTGAATTATTCGTGTCTGGCACTGTGTGAACAGACTTCGGAGCTCATTCTGCTGGACGTCGTTAGCCACTTCAGGTTCTGCTGGGCTCTTCTGGACCTTTGCCACTGCGAAGTTTATTCCCTGGGTTAATCCAGCTTGGGTGATACTAGCAACCTGGACCATGGAACTTCGAATCTTTGCAAAGGGAGAGACTGCTCTGCTGCTACTGCTCTCTGAAGGAGAAGGAGTGACAGGAAGGCCTGTTTCCAGTTCAAGCATAGTAGACCCGGAGCCAGGGGGCTTTTCAGATACGACTAGATGTACTGGTTCAACTGACAAAAACTGAGGGGCTGTTGCAGAAAAAGATACATCTAACTGTGATGGTCGAGATGGCGTCTGTTCCAGTGCTTCTGACTGAGTTTCTTCACTAGAGACTTGGCTGGTCATTTGCCTTCCTTCTTCACTAGCCTGCTGAGTAACACAGCTGGTCTCTGAGAGCTGGGTTATTTTGTTCTGTGCATCTTGTATGAATCTGTGGCAGTAAATATCCACAGGCTTGGCAAAGCCAGTCAGTAGGTGTATGCTGTCAACAGAAGGGCTTTTCTTCGGAAGAGCCTCCTGGCCTTTTTCGAGCCTGCTTCCATGGGCGACACTGCTTTCTGAAGAAGCCTGAATGCTAAGGTCAGTGCTGCTAAAAGACTGGGATCGACTGCCTAACCGAGGCGCTGAAGCAATAATACCGCAACTGGGAAGAACATAGTCTACTGGCCCTACATTCTCCAGAGAACTGGCCAGCTGCCTATCCTCGTCAGATTTGGAGTTTGTAAGAAATTCATCAGAGTGGTATGAATCATTATCTGAAGATATTTCCCCATCAGATTCTGCCTGGACTTTATCATCCACCACACCCATATTCTCCATGGTTTCAAGACTACTATCGGACTTCCAAAGATTGACTTTTAAGTTCGGCTTTAGAAAGTTAACCTTCATCTCAGGTTTTGTAAAGTTTCCTAGCTTTCGAAGATTGCCAATATTTACATTGGATTTGGTCTGCTTCACTTTTTGATTTAAAGATGAAAATTTACTCATTAAAAATTTTTTTCCCTGGGCCAGAGAACCTTGGTTTTGAGATCGAATGCCAATGATGTCTTCATGAGGCTTACTGCTTTTCCTACAAATTAGAAGAGAAAAAATTTAATTCCCTAGGGAATCCAGTGTAACAACTGCAGTTACTGAAAACCCTGATTTAAATTGGTCCCAATGTCTTGAAAATGGTGCACTGCTAACTGATCAACCCAGATAACCCTTGAAGGTGCAGAAGCTAAATGGTACTGTCCATAGAGGATTTGTGAACTATATATGTAACTTAAAAAACACAACATTTTAATACTACTTTAGTCATACCCAACAAATACAATATATTGTCATTTCAAATTATAACCAATGTTAAAAGACTGATTTTTATTTTTCATAGTAAGTTTTGAAACTCCCACTGTATTACAGCACAGGTCACATTTCACAGGCTCCAGAGCCACATGTGGTAAGTGGCTGCTGTTTGGAGCAGTGCAGGTCTACCTCACGCACATACTAAACAGCAAGCAGTCAGCACTGTAGGTGGGCACTGACAGCACCTAACTGAAACTGCACACATTATACCCAGGTAGCTGAGGAGAATTCCTGCCCTTTATGTTTCCTGTAAACTACCCAAGTTTATTTTAAATTACTGGAGACAGAACTAGCAAGTATTTATCCTTTGGCATCTTTGACAGCTTATAAGCAAGAAAATAACGTGAGCACTGCCGGCCGCCCTTCTCCGCAGGCACTTCTGGTTGTGCAGATCACGGTCATTAGGCTATTTCATAAAAATTACACGGAAGAGCTACTGAGAAGACTTAACCACTTCCCTCTAGATGACAAACAGCTCTTCCACAGTGGAGTGTGGACCATAAGGCTTACTCATTAGAGAAAATTCACAAAATTTTAAATGTCATGCAATCTGATGACAGGAATTCCTTCCAAATTCAAAATCCTAGTGTTTTAAGGCATACAATTATTTAAATTTGTAACTCCCTCTTGAGAGTATACCTATGAATTTCGAAATATCATTTGTGGCCATAATTTAAACAAAAAGTATACTTTTGGACACAGAAATTTGTTCTCTCTACAAATCAACACATCATAATGTGCTCTCACATGCAAATCGGGTTTTCCTTCTTGAGAGGCAATCAAAAGTAGACTCACCTCTCCAGCTTCTTCTCAATTATAGGTACATCTAGTCCCATAGCTTGCTTGGTGATCTGCAGCATCTCTGCAATGCACTGAAGTGTGTCTGAAACCCAAACATAGCTGCCAGTTTTCTACGCACATGGCAAAAACTGCAACTAACTCAAAACCCTAAATGCACTGTTACAATAAAACAAATTTGTTAGTCACAAAAACTACTTATTCACTAAGCTCTCTACTCATTCAAAAATTCCAAAACCAATTTTTAAAATAAACCCTACTAAATTGGAATTGAAAGTTTATCCTAACTCTTGTATGTGTAAACACTTCTACCTAGACGTCAAGGCAATTGCCTTAACAAGAGGCATCCATTTGTTGGCTAAAACAAAATCCCCAAATCATCTCCCTCCACTGCTGGGAACAAAGTCACTATTTCCAGGTCTCATATCCACAGAACATTTGGGCAGTAATGGTGCTGTTCCCAATTCCATTTGGGCTGATAAAAGCAGGTTTTAAAACTCACTAAATAGTTTTTTTACCTTTTCCATCTTCTTCTGGATTACGCATCACAGCTCTCAGTGTGTGAAAATAGCCACTTGTTTCTTTATATCTATAGTGCAGTCTCATACAGGAAAACTTTGGCTTTCCAAAAAGAGTGGGTTCAGGACCTAAAAGACCCAATGAAGATGTGAAGTTGCACCTTTCACGTAACATTTACTTTCTTTGATAACCTCAAGACATGCACTCATCAGCTGGGTATTTAGCATGCTGCTTTGTATTCTAAAGGAACAACAAAATAGATGACAATGACGACTTGATGAAGCTGTAATTAAAAATACTTAGTTTCAGTACCAAATACTTAAACTTTTGTGATCCCTGGGTTTTATCTTCTTCAGGTCATAGAGGGACTACCCCTATCACTGACCTCTTAAGAAAAGAAGGAATCCTGAGCCCGGGGGTTAGCCTCAGCGCTGTCACTGCCAAGGCCTGAGTTTGAACCCTGGCCGAGGGAAGTGACCCACATAGGGCACAGCAGAGTCTCCCCGCTGCTCCTCGTAGTGATGTATTTCTGATCTGCCTGTTCTGCTCTCTACTCTGTCTCTGGTGGATCCTCTAACCCCCTGCAGCTCTGGCCTATACCCCAATCCTGGTATACATAAATAAATAAATCTTTAAAAGAAAAAAAAGGTGCCCATACTTAGATGAAATAGTACAAATTTCCTATGTATGGCTTAGTTAATGTTTTAAAACTTGCCTATTTCTATTTTTTCCAGGTCTTCCAGACTTAGTCGTTGATACTGGTTTACTTTGTCAACTTCATCATCATAACTAGATAAAGGGAGAGAAAAAAAAGAGGGTTAAAATCACATTACTTGGCTTGTGCACAGCCCATCCATTTTAGTCCAAAAGCTAAAGGAAAAATTAAAAGAAGAAATTAATCACAAAGCAAAAACTTCAGCTTTATAAAAACTTTTACAGAAAAAACCAAACCTAAGAATCTAATCTGAAGGGAAGGCAACATGTACACTGAGACTGAGTAAAAGCAGACAGATCAGAGCTCCATCAGCAAGAATGAATGCCCCGCATGATGATCAAGGCCCACAGGCCCCCAACCAATGAAAACATGACTGTTCACACAAGGTCCAGAACAAAGCTTCATTCTGGTAAGGTTATAAGGAACAAGTATTGCTAGTGGCATTTTTAATTGATAGTCTTTCTGGCAATCAAGCCACAAAAGTTAAAATTCATTATATCCGAGTAAGGACAAATGCGTACACACACGCATGCACAGAGTACCTGCATGAAGCTTGACCATAACATTATCACTGGTGGTCCTACTGTCCACACAGGGGATGGTATGAAAGGCTAAAATCAACTGGGTGTGGTCATTAATAAAAATATATAAAATAGATATTTAAAAATGGGAGCTATATTAATACCAAATGCTGAAATCAAACCTGGATTCTAATTCTAAAATCACATTTCAAATTGATAAATTCAGTAACAGACGGATTCAATGAGGTTCTTTACTATATCTATAAATATAGTTTGTAAATCTCCCGTGAATTCTTAAAAGGAAACATTCAAATTTAAAACAGTTAAATGATTTAAATCAAGCAACTTACTAGGCCACGTAGTAGGCAGAATTAGAAAGCAGTAACAGCACATCCACATCTCTGTGAGTAGCATCAATGAGGCTAAACAAACATGACAGGGAATTAAATGTTTTCATTTGCATTTTTAACCAAGCGTATTTCTACAGAAAAGCCACTTAAAATTTGGGGGTGGGGGAGAGAGCAAAATCGTATTTGGGGCTTGCTAACATTAAATGTGTATAATCTTGCCATTTGAAAATTTAAAAAAATAAAAAGGGGGGTCGTGTGTTATCAGAAAGACCGACCAGAGCCGCTGAGAGGACAGAGGAGGTGGGAGGGGGGACTGCTGAAAAGGATGGTGGGGGCCGAAGAGAAAGGGGGGTGATGCCGCAGAGGAGGGAGGGGCCAAGGGCAGAGAGTGGGTGGAGCAGGGAGGATGATCAAGGTAAGGGATGGGAAATTAGAGCAGGGGGTTGAGAAAAGGAAATCTGGATTATCCACATCAACTGACCTTCAACCTGGCATTGCTCATTTAGAATTACTTGCTCATGTAGACAATAAATCCTTTGAAAAATTTGGTAATCTTTTACAAAACACTTACGTGCAAAAAACAAACCAAATTCAAGCTACTTTACATTCCCCTCACTATAGATTACCTGATTTTAAGGAACGAATAACATTTCCTTATCCTCTCTGAACCCGGTTTGCCCTATTTTGCCTTCCATTCTAAAATCAGTATTAGGATAAGGACTGCGTGCGACAGAAGCGATGAACTTCACATCAGACGGCAGGGACAATACAGCTATAAAATGACCAGAGACCGGCAACACCTAAAACTCGGTAAACCGCAACCGACAGCGACCGCAGCACGACTAGGCGTCGAGTACGAATCATCTTCCAATCAAAAGGTGGAGATTAACCTGCGTTCCTACCTTGGGCTCAAAGTTCCACCGTAGGGCAATTATTTCTAGGGTGTTACGCTTACTTGCCAAGACTTAGCAAAATACTACTGAGGAAGAAGAAACCGAAGGCGCGCGCCAGTGGCACGTCTCTCTGCGAGGATGAGGTCACGGCGGCGCACTGCGGACAAAGCGCACCGGCTCCGTGCCGC